AGGCCAGATCCAAGCGAGGCGTGTCAAAGATTCCTGTTGGTAGGAATGCACACTGGCACATTACTGAGTTTGATGAATTCGTGGATCCACTCTCACCACCTATAGCTTTGACCAAATACAAGACTATCCTCGGGTTACTTGTTAGGGACTTCATCCCGATTAAGTACAGGAAGTGGATTGGGAAAGATGATGACCGGTGGGGGGTTCCCAAAAGCGAGAAGGATCACATATGGGATGTCAAGATCCCAGAGTATTTCACTTTCCCAGCCGAGTATGACAGAGAGTTAGTCAAGAAAAAAGCAAAAGAAATCATGGGGACATGCTTCAAGAATTTCAAGGGGACATTGTACAAGAATTTTGTCCTCCAAAATAAAGAGCCAGATTTCGATGGTGGACAGTTTAGCAAGCAGAAGGACTTCTGGCAGGCTTTCAAGGAATAATGGTTATCCGAGGAGTACTTAGAAATGAGCAGGAAGAATAAGGAGAATTCGCAGAAATCGACGATTCCTCATCATCTCAGCTCTCGTGGCTACGCCAAAAAGATGCCAGAATTTGAAGCAGAACTTCATAAGATGGATCGCCTTGCTGAGGAAGGTGTTCAGGTTGAGACAGCCGATTGGGAGCATAGATCGGTAATATACTGTATGGGGAGGAATGTACGGCACGTCGAGGACGGGAGCTTTAGCTCCTCAAATCAACCCATGAGCGAACTCATCCAGAGGATCTCCTAGGTAACTGAGGAGGTGAGGCAAGGGACTCGCACTTCTAATAGGGAGAAAGATGTGCTCACCCAAGCACTCGGAACCAAGGAGCACCCTGGTCGCACTAGAGGAACCGGTGTTATTCCTTGAAAACTAGCATTCCCCCAAGAATCTAACACTTACCGAAGCCGCTCGAGGGGTAGAGAGGAACATGAGGCAGAGTATTTGAGCAGACTAAAAAAATGGAAGACAGAATGGAAGCACGGATTGAGGCGACCGTTGAAGCGCGAGTCGAGCAAATTTTGCTATCCAAGAGGTCAGCAGTACCACAAAACCCTACTCCTACTGCCTTTAGCCCACAGTTTAGGGGTCACAGCAGCTGCGGATTGACCCCGCTCGACGAAGAAGAGGCGAATGTGCCTCATCCGGTGGACAACATCACTGAACCCGTCAATGTTAGGTTGTACATCCATCAGGAATGGACAAAGGACAAGGTGGCGCTCTGCCAGGCCTGGACTGTGGGAGACGGGACAATTAATGGCCGCCCAATTCCACTAGGGTACGCTCGCGTCACCATTGACAGAATACTTGATAAGAAGTATAACAAGATACCCATTGAGTACCCCGTAGCGGAAGACTGGCCGAAACTTGGTCATAACAAGGGCTCTCAAGTGGCCTAGCGCAAGCGCTTCATTAAGCTTGACCACCAATTATCCTCTGATGATGAGGACGACTACGAGTCTTCACCCACCCGCGATGATAACTCACCATCTCCCAACAGAGATCACTCCCCTCCTCATCCGGAGCCATCAACCCGAGAAGACAGAGGTATCCTTCTATTCCTCCTCGTCCGACTCTATCTTCATCAGCCCTGAGAAAAGAGACTCCTCCTCCTCCTCCTCCTCGTCCGACTCCATCTTCATCAGCGCTGGGAAAATAGAATTCTCGTCGTCATCCTCCTCCTCCACCTCAGCCCAAAACAAGATCAAGGACATCCTCGTAGTCGCAGAGAAGGTCCTTGGATTCGGTCACTAATGCTCCCAAAGGGGACCAACAGAAAAGAAAAAGGCTGTTCAGTGGCAGCGTTACCTCCTTGATGGAAGAAAAATTTACAGCACACGTCAAGAAGGAAGATTGTATTAGTTTCTTCAATCTCTGTGCCTCACTGCCTTCATTTATGTTGAAGTCCGAATTTGAAAGGCAAACACAGAATAAATACGCTACAACAAGAGACGAAGAAATATACAATAAATATTTAAGAAACATACAGAAGTACGTCGAAGACAACCCAGGATTAACCATGGAAGAGGCCGCGACCATCTATTATGATGTACAAGGGACGACAACACCAACAATGAAGTATGTAAGGGCAATATTTTGGTTCCCGATTATAAGTATAAAAATCTGACAACATATATGCGCCATTTACATGAATATTACATGGCTCAAGCAACGGAGACGGACAGCTTTGGTTTTGAGGTTATTATCCGTTCGCCACATGTTTTCAATTTTCCTGAAGAAGAGAAGTTCGATGTCGAGTGGGAGTGCTTGTTCCAACTATACCAGAAACGCGATCTCATTGTTCAACTATTGACGCCGTGGACTATGTAAGTACCCTACACGCACGATATTACAATTAACTGCTCTCTCGAGACACAAATTATTAACTTTTGAGCACTTCCTATGATTTTATGTAGGTGTATAACAAAATTTTGCATTCTAAAAAGCAAATGGGATTACATAGGCTTTTTGGACCCCATGCGAGTCAATGAGAGGACATGTCTAGGCCTATGTGGATGTGATGTGGAAGACCTGAAACAGAGATTGATAGCTGTTTTCGACGAATTCACGATAAAGAAGAAAACCCACATACTTCTAGCCTACAACTGCGAGTATGTGTTCTCGGCTTTTAATTTTATACTTCTTTTTTCGTTAAGATTATTCGATAATTAGGATTATGTGATTGCAGCAACCATTTCGTCTTTATTTGTGTTAATCTTGCCAAAAATCTGCTCGAGGTGTGGGACTCGAAGAAAAAAAACATTTCATCATCTGGATGCTCTGGTGTCGGTGTTGAATTAGTAAGTGATCCTAATAACATATTATTTTCTAGTCACACATACCGTTTTCTAATGTTTCTCCTTCTAATGTTGCTCAGTATCCGAAGAAGACATATCGGTGGGAAACCGGTCCCATTCAAGGTTGTCGAAATGGAGGGGAAGTACCTATCACAACCGGCGGGAAACAATGAATGCAGGTTTTATGTAATGTGGGCAATGCTTCGCTACATCAGCGGAAAATCGGAAGAAGCCGATAAGTTGGCGTGTATAATCTCCATTTCATTTATGTCTGTTAATAATTCAACAAAATGATTTACTGTTCCTCTTTGGATATCATCTTTTTGAACGACAGCGCAAGAAATTTAAGCACGAAAGGCTGCTAGACATGGAGATCGTCGCACTATAATCGGAGCTGGAAAAATTCATCTTAGCCGAGGTACTGCAAAAAGATGGACTATTTTCCATTGTACAATCCATGAGATACAAGGACCAGTATGGCCCAGAGCGGCTCGCCAGATTATTGTAAGAAGTCCGAGAAGCATTGCACAATTTGTGAAGTCCGAGAACATTTCTTTTTTATTTTGAGGGATCAAAATCTGGATAAGAACATTTGAATTGTAATCGTAACATTTGTAATGTTTAATATTGATGCACATGTCGTCTACGTAGCATATATAAAGCGAAACCTGATTCGACGAAAAAATACAAATTGAAATAAATTATAAAACAATAAAATACGAACGGACAATTACCGCCGGTTAGCAACAAACCGACAGTGTTGGCTTGCTCAACCCTGTCGGCTTGAACCATCAATCGTCACTGATGATTACGACAACACTGCCGGTTTGATCCATCAATCGACACTGATGGCTACAACAACACTGCCGGTTTGATCCATAAACCGACAGTGTAGGTTTGGGGAACACTACCGGCTTGAACCATGAACCGACACTGATGGTTACGACAACACTGTCGGTTTGATCCATCAACCGACACTGATGGTTACGACAACACTGCCGGTTTGATCCACGAACCGACAGTGTAGGCTTGCACAACACTGCTGGCTTGAGCCAAGAACTGACACTCTTGAAGCAACCGTCACTGTCGGTTGGCACTACAAACCGGCATTGTTGTTCAACTGGACAGTGCCGGGGCGAGCCAGGAACCGACACTGTTTCGTGTAGATCAGTGTCGGTTTTTAAGGACCGATAGTGATGTCAATCCCACATCACTGCCGGTATGCCACTGTCGGTTCAAAATCCGATAGTGAAGTGGGTTTTTGAACCGGTAGTGATGTCCAGATCTGGGATAGTGTGCACATGTATACGGCCGGAGCTGGTTGCGGTATGTACGTGCATGCGCCCAGTTCTGTCGAAGCCGGAGGAGCCGCGCACGCCGCCAGAGAGTCGCCCGAAGCCAGAAGAGCCGTTGGCCGCCGGAGAGTCACACAGAGCTGGAGGAGGACGCCGCGATTGGAGACACAAGATGCAAAGGCGAAGACAAAGGCGAGAGCGTAGTTGTGTGATGCGGCTGCCGTACGTGCGCGTGGAGGAACGGAGGCAGGCGTACATACACATGAAGACTGGACGTCGGATGAACCAGGTTCCGAACGTGGCTGCTGTACGCGCGCAAAGACTAGAGGCCGAAGCCGACGCATGCATGCACCTGTGCCCAGCACGCATGTATGCGTGTGTGCGTTTGAAGATAGTGCGGCGTCCACGTAGACCTGGAGGTGCACGGGCGGAACCACGTCGGTTAAAAAATTGAAACAAATGGTATGGGCTAGAAATACGCCACTAACAAAGATTATGGATCCCAAAACCCACTTTCAGAGTTGATGGAACTAAGTGAAATTAGAGCGCAAGTTGATGGACCACCCATGCATTTAACTCCTTTAAAAATAATATGGTTCTAGGCACACTTTTAACTGAGATCATTATTATACCCCAGATTTTCCCTCGGATTCAAGCCAGGTGCTCAAAGAGCAAAGGGACAACACCAAAATGCATATACTTGCATGAAAATGCCGTTATGTACATTCATTTCTCTCACACCGCTGCTCATCACGTGCAGAAAAGTGACCAACATCAACGGACACAGAAAAGAACACAGATACTCGTTGGCGTGGTTGATTCCTTGCTTGCACATATATTCTGCCTGCCGCTACTCATCTCGATCGACAGTTGATTCTTCAGAAATCAGAAGCCGATCGGATGCCGCTCTGTGCCAGCTGATCACCCTAGATCGCAACGGGCACGTTTGCTGCGAATGGGACACGGGCCGGCTCGGCGGCGGCAGGAGGCTCGTGCCTGCGGCGTTGGCGTTGCTCCTCTTTGCTCGTCGCCGGTGCCGGACGCTCCTTCTTCAAGCGCATGTTCTCTCCTCCAGCACCGAAATCGTCCCTGACCATCTGGTGGTACCTGCACTCCTCGCTACAGAACGGCGTGTCCCCTCTGTTGTTCGCAACGGGGACGGTCAGAACACCGCTCCGCATTGCATGCATGGGAGAAGCTGGAGGAATGAAGGAAGCATACAGGTCCAAGGCCGGCACGAACCTGTACATGAAGATGTCGCAGTCCCCGGCGAGGCGCTTCCCGCAGAGGGAGCAGGCGTCCATGGCGTGGCGGCAGGTCTCGCTCTCGCCGCCGTCGAGTGGCTCGATGCCAAAGAAGGAAGAGGAGGAAGACGCCATCATTTTTCAGCGTTGGAGCTGAGCCTTGGGGTACCACTATCACACCGCTATGCTATGCTACCACACTGAAGCACTGAACTGGAACAAGTCTGAAGCTTTGCTGCCACCATTTACTAGTTCAGTGCAGTTCAGCGATGGTAGAAGATTATTAATTCACCAGCTAGACTGCGAAAGATTCTAGTCCAAACCTTTGGCAAAATGGCAGTGAGAACTGAGAAGACATTGCACATGGTGTTGGGCGTTGTTGGCCCAAGGATCGGGCCATTGGGGACACCGGAACAAGGAGAGAGAGGTTGGGTCTGAGCGGACGCATGTTTCGTTTCCTCGCACTCTGAGGCAGTCCGACCGAGGAGTCCGCGGTGGAAAAAGTGGGCGAAAGGGCGAGGAAGGAAGCCGTGTGCTGGACGACAGTGGGCTGCCGTCGTGCGAGTGCGACGTCGAATCGGCGACGCGCGCCGGCACGACGCGGCTACTGCTGCCGCATTGGCAGTGCTTTTGTGCTCTGCTCGGTGTGCTCGCCTCGCCTTTTCCACGCGCCTTTCCTCTTTGGCTTTTCCAACGAGGGAACGTAACTGAGGCTGTGTTTAGTGGTAGGAATTTGGAATTTGGGGCTACTGTAGCATGTTCGTTTTTATTTGGCAAATAGTGTTCAAATATGGATTAATTAGACTCAAAACGTTCGTCTCGTAATTTTTCACCAAACTATGCAATTAGTTTTTTTTTTCGTCTACATTTAATGCTCCATACATAAGCCGCAAACATTCGATGTGACAGGTACTGTAGCACTTTTTGGGATTTTGACTTCAAACTAAACACGCGCTGACAAGGTCGTCCTCGTTTCGCCGTGTCATTGGGTGCTGTGTTGACCGACTCGGAACGAAGTCTCCGTCCTTGATGAGAGAGCTTGACCCCGTGGAGACCGAGCCAGAACTGAATTACGGAGTACGCGCGGACTGGTATTACAAAATTTCTGCGTGACGGACCGACGATGTTGTAAGAGAAGTTTTCGTGGGACATAGAACATCACATCGGACATATATCATAGAACATCAATCCATATCCCTCAACCGGCCCGGCGGGCGGCATCACAAAATATATAATAGAACATCACATTCTCTCATAAACATCAGGTGTACATACTACGTGAACATCACAAAATATATCATAGAGCATCATTCTATACTACGTGAACCTTGCAAAAATAAATAATAGCATCTCATGGAATGGTGCATAAAAAATAATTAATAAGGATGGGTGAGGTAGGCCTATAGTTGGCCATTTGGCCCGGGCACTATGGGTCGGCCCAAGCACGACACGAATCAGCACGGCCTAGGAACGGCTCGGCCCGACGGCCTTTGTGCGATGCCCGTAGCATGCCCGGTCTTAGTGCTCGTGCAGGGCTTTGGCATTACGCCCGTTCGTGCGCGGCCGATCGGACGCGCCGCAGACGCACGGCCAGATATCATGTTTAAGTATATATACGGTGACTTAGTTATGGTTTCACTCAGCCTCTTCCTCTCTCTCCGTCTGCGCGCCCGCCCTATCTTCACCCGAGTGCACACGGCGCTCCCTCCCCCGTGCTCGCGCCCGCTCCCTCCCCCGTGCAGCGCTGCCACTCCATCTCCTTCTCCCTCTCCATAGCCAGCAGGCAGGGCAGTGCCCCTCCCTCTTCCCCGTGTGGAGCTCTCCCCATGCGGGGCTCCATCTCTTCCCTATGCGACGCGGACCCCCCCTCTCCCTCTCCACATCTGACGAGCAAGGCGGTGCCTCTCTTTATCCATCTCCTGGCGTGGATCCAGTGAGGTGGAGTCTGCTGGTGGCGGATCCGGCGGGGAGGAGCTCTCTGATGGTGGATCCGGCGAGGAGGAGCTCTCCAGTGGCGGATCCAGCGAGAAGGAGTCCATTGGTGGCGGATCTGGCAAGCACGAGCCCACCGCGCGGCGGATCCGGCGGGGAGGAGCTCTCCGGTGGCGGATCCGGCGAGGAGGAGTCCGCTGGTGGCGGATCCGGCAAGCACAAGCCCGTCGGTTGATCTGGCGCGGAGCAGTCTGCTGGCGGCGGATCTAGCGGGCAGGAGCTCTCCGGTGGCGGATCCGGCGAGGAGGAGTCTGCTGGTGGCGGATCCGACAAGCACAAGCCCGAGCACGCCGGCGGATCCGACGGGGAGGATGCGGGCTTAACGCTAGGGTTTTCACTACTCCCTAAGCGGGTGAAGCGGATGCGCGCGTGATCACGACCGCGCCCTAAACCCGCGACAGACCCGGCAAAAATAGCGGCGGCAAATCTTCGGAATCCCCAAATCCCAAAGCAAAGTGCCTAGTGACACGGCACGACACGGCTAAGACCTGATAGTGCCGTGCAAGCTGCCACCGCCATGGACGGTGGCACTAACAGGCACGGCACGACTAGTCTACCGTGCCGCGTAGTAGTGCCGTGAGAGAGAGGGGAGGAGAGAATGCTCTGCCGTCTTTTGTGTCTAGCCGCGTGCCGTGCTAGTGCCGTGTCGTGCGGCCCGTTTGGCCAACTATAGGTAGGCCCGGCGCGATGGGACAGCAGGACATGCCAAATTAGCCAAAATATATTATCGCATTTCTCGCAACAAACTTAAAAAAAAGTTATAACTGCTAAACTAAACATCTAAATTAAATTTCGATTACACAGTCGGATTTCTTGCAATAAAATCCTTCAAAACAAAATCACACATGGATATATTTAGATAAGATTTTATTAACGAACATTTATCTTACGAAGATAGAACATTTTCTTTTATTGAGCAGAGACGATGTTCTAGGTTCAGGGAATAATGTTCCGTCTTCGTAAGAAAAATATTTGCGGTTTAGAAAAATAGTATTCTAGTTTTAGGTTCAAGAGATTGGTATTATAATACACATAAAAATAAATAAATAAATACATAACATAAATAAATAATAATAAAATCTATAGCAAAGCATAAGGAAAAAATAAGAACACTTAATAGAGAAAAAAATTAAAAGAACATCACATGGATACTTTTCGAACATCCTATAATATATTATAGAACACCACATGTATACTAAGTGAATATCATTAAATACAACATAGAACATCACTAAATACATTATAGAACATCACATATATATTACGTGAATATCAGTGAATACATCATAGAACATCACATATATAATAAGTAAACGTCACAAAAAATATCATAGAACATCACATGTATACTACATGAACATAAAAAAATCATAAAACATGGCATGTATATACCACATGAATATCACAAAATACATCATAGAACATCACATATACACTATACGAACATGGCAACATATATCATAGAACATCAAATGTATACTACATGAACATCATAAAATATATCATAAAACATCGTGTGTATACTATGTGAATATTACATGTATATTACGTGATAAAAATACATCACAGAACATCACAAAATATATAATAGAATATCACATGTATACTGCATAAACATCATAAAAATACACCATAAAACATCACATGCATACTACGTGAACATCACAAAATATATCATAGAGCATCATTCTATACCACGTGAACCTTGCAAAAAATAAATAATAGAACATCTCATGGAATAAAGAAATAAAAAGTAAACATGAAAAAATAATTAATAAGGATAAAATAGGAAAATAAAAATAAAAATTTCTATAGAAAACATAAAGACAAAAGAGAAAAAGGAAAAGAATAAAAACAAAGATACAAAATATAGAAAATAAAAAGAATAATAAAAATCACATAAAACATAAAATAAAATAAAATAAAAATAAATGAAGCAACAAAAGAAAAATAAAAGGAAAAAATGAAAAGGATAATAAAAAATCACATAAAACAAAAAGTAAAGAAAATAAAAAATAAATGAAGCACGAAAAGGAAAAAGAAAAATATAAAAAGAAAATATAAAAAATGAAAAGAATAATAAAACCGCATAAAACAAAAAAAAGATAAAAAATAATTTGATGCAGAAAAAAGAAAGAAAAGAAAAAAAAGAAAAAAAAGAGGCAGAACGCACCTTAACTACTCCAGAGCGAAGCAGTATTCCGTGTGGGAGAATGAAATGGCCGCGGAATTCTTAGCGTCGGGCTCGGATCTGGATGGAACGGAACGAGGCTTTTGGCGCGAAAAAAATGGGCGGGAGCATTGTTCGGCGGGCGTCTTCCGTCCGGCCGATCGGACGCGAAGAATTCCGGAAGTTTCCTGCGTGACGCACGGGCGGTGGCACAAGATGAGGACGACGCTATGGGTCCAGTTTGCAGCCCATGACCCTGGACTTGGGGCTTCCTCTGGTCCTAGGCCATAATATATTGCAAACTTTGTGTGTTGGGCCCCACACGTAACTCGCCCGAAATAAGATGGAAAAGGCTACGAAAGTCACCGTTAACTGAACCCAAAATGAAATACAAGGCCCATTAAGCATGGAAGCAGATGCAGATGCAACGGGGTACAGCCCATAGTTTGGCGGTTTGGCCATTGCATATTCCGTACTCTCTAAGCTTACCCTTTGGATTCTAAAAAAAAAAAATCTAAGCTTACCCTTTCACTCTACTCCCTCCGTCCCACTAATATTTGCACATCTAGGTTCTGGCACAGAAAACAAGAAGAAGTAAAATTACGAAATTGCCCCTACGAAATATCTTTCACCGCCGTCTTGGTCGAGCTTCGCCCAACACCCAATCCAGTCTTCGGTCCATCGACCTCCCCTTCTCACTGCTCGCACCGCATCGCCGCGTCCATGACATGCCGCACCTCTCCACCGCCTCCTCCGTAGAAGTCGCGTCGATGTCGCCCTTCCCGCGTCTCCACGTGCCATTGCCCATCTCCGCCTCCTCTTCCACAGTGCTGCGAGTGTGCGGAGCGGACGGAGCTGCCTGGGCCACGACGTCGGAGAGGTGATGGAGGAGTTCGACGGTGGCAGCGTGGTATCACTGCAAAGACCGGTGTGAGGGGCCATCGTATGACGCTAACGCCATGCGGTGTCACGCTCATCGCCGCTCGCCTCGCCCCCCCCCCACACACACACACATGCTGCTGCTGCACCAATGCTGCCGCGCGGCCTTGGCATTACGGCGGACGGTAGCCATAGACTAGGTAGAGGCCGTCCGGGGAACGGGAAGGAGTGGGCACGCCCAGAACAGTAGCGCAGCGATGCGGAATGAGATCCGCACCCTCGCCGCGGAAGGCTGAACGGGAGAATGAAGCTGTGTTCCTGTGAACGAGAGGAGGAGCTTCTGGAGAGCTCACGAGAGCCTTCGAGTCCAACGAGATCGTTGGTTCTCTCCTTTCTTTTTTTTTTATTTGTGACATAAATTAATTAATTTTTTATTTTTCTGATCTCACCTGTGGCTGGTATAGTTTGATGTGATAACTGATAGGTACAAGTGACCTTTATTTTGGGAAAAAATTGAATGGTAGATGTAGTTTTATTAGTGGGACGGAGGGAGTATTTTTTTATACTTTTGGAGGCCCTCGCATGTTGCAGGAACTGCATTGTACCACACTACCACTGCATGCACAGGGTCTTCAAAAAAACTGCATGCACAGGAGTATCTTCATAGGTGAAAATGAAATGGCTACTCTTGAAAAAGGAAGATTTGTGTGATTGTGTCCGTGATGTCGACATACTTTGCGTCGCAAGTGTCATGGACAAATCATCCGCCACACTTTTGGTGAGCGTTGGCATCGAAAATGAGCTATGGTATCGCGGCGAGTTGTGGTTGTGGCAGCACCACAGGTGAGGTGGTGAACTAAACGCTGGCCTAAAATTGCAGAATGAACTACCCCTGTGTCATCTGGCGTACGAGTTTGATCGAGGATAAAAACCGCAAGGGCCCAGAACGAACTCCTCTTGTTTTGCTGGTCTACGGGGAAAAGGCAAGCATTGACACAAAGTTGCACATATATATTCTAGCTACAAGTTGTTGATCATATATACCAGTACATATCTCCACGGTCAATGAGCTAGGTACCTATATTTCTGCAACCATGGTTGGCCTGCCGCGCAACGGGCCGGGTTGACAAACGCATGTGATTTAATTGTAAACATTATCGGGGAGTCCATCTCAGGCGTAAGCTTTATTTTGGACGGATTTCCACTCCATTCGCGTATCCACCCACAAGGACCACAACCTTTCTGTGGAAGCGTTCCTTTCCTCGTTCCTTTTCCCGATCGAATCAGCCGGTAGTGCACGCCGGCGGCATGGAATTCGACGCATCAAACCATGCATCCCAGCAGGATCAGATCTGGAGCGACCACGATGTGATTCGCAGACTCGCAGTAATCCCGTGAAGCAGCAGATCAGATCGTTGGCCGTAACAGCGACTGATTCCCCGTAACCCCGTGCCCCGACGCCGAGTCGCCGACGCTAGTTGCGATCGTAGAGGCTCGTAGCCGTAGCCACGGGAGGAGGCGCCGCTCCCGCCAGGCCGCCACAGTGACAGTCTGACAGCCCTCCATGCCTCCACCCACCCCCACCTCGCCCCCGGCCGTTCCTCGTGGCAGGCTGACTGACAGGCAGATCACGCGCCCCCTCCTCCGTGCCACCTCAGATCCGCTTCCCAACATGAAGTCTGCCGCTGCCACCGACGGGTGGGGCAGGGGGAGCACGCGGGGCTCCACCGTGCGCCCCGCAATTAACTGCCCCGCATCGCGCGCGGGAGCGCGCGCTTCCGTTCGTCGGTTCCTCGTCCTCCTCTGTCCTCTCCTCCCTCGCCGGGAGCGCTCGGCAAAGCGTAACCGGCACCGGCCGGCCGCGCACCAACCTCCGTCCTGCCTGCGCTGCGCTACAGAAATCTCGCGCGGCATTTGAGCAAAATGGCCGCTGCAGGCCTCGCGTCGCATCAGACGGGCGGGCGACGTCACGAGCGGCACGGCGGTTGCGATCACTTGTTAATCCTGGCACCGCTCGCCTGCCAATCTGCCATCATCGCCATATCCGGTTGCGAGGACGCCGATACAAATCACGGCCAGCAAATTAGGCGCTATCACGTCATGGAAAACCTGCTCTCTGATTAGTGTGTGCCCAGGAAAAGAAAGAAAGAAATCAAAGGTGTGCCGTGCACACCCTGTTCATCTTCATCTGCTGCACTTGCTGCTTGCTATTAACAATGAACTTATCAAGTGAATTCTCCTAAAACCCCTACTAGTATAAAAGGAGATTGAGGAACGGATACTCCAAGGTAAAGGAGCTGGAAATTAGTATGAACAAAAACTTGAAAAAAAGAAAAAGAAAAAGAAAAAGGAGAAAGTTCTAGCTTTCCTATGGTTTTTTTCCTTCTCATTTTCTGGGAAGGCATTGATGGATGGATTCCTGCACATCATGCACTCACCGGCTCACGAGGCGGACGGCCGGTCGGCTGGATGATGAGGCGGGGAAAGCTCCGCTCAGCAGAGGATGGCCTCTACGCTCCCCGTCCGCACGCACAGGCACACGGGGCACGCCATGGCGGCGTCGTCCGCGTCGCCGGCGGCGAAGCACTCGCCGCAGAGGGAGAGGTGCCTGCAGGGGAGGAGCACGACGGAGGCCGGCCTGAGGCGGCAGCCGAGGCACGCGCGGTCCGACGAGGACGGCCCCGTGGTGCGGCGGCAAGGGTCCACGTACGCCGACGACGAGGACTCCGCCGGGCCGGCGTCGCCGGCGGCGGCGAGCTCCTCGACCGACGCCCGCGCCGCGGCCGCGGCCTGCTGGAGCTGCGCGTGCAGGGTGACCGCGGCAGCCTGCTCCGAGAGCGCCTTGGCCTGCCACGCCGCCGCCTCGCCGCGGAGGCGCGCGAGCTGGTCCTCCAGCTCGGCGCCGCGCCGCGCCTCGCGCTCCGCTTCCGCCGCCTTCTCGCGGAGCCTGCGCGCCGCGGACTGGTCCGCCTTGACCAGAATCGCCCGGTTGTGGCGCCGCAGCCGATCGGCCATCGCCCGCCTGAGCTGCTCGCCCTGACCAGGAACGGATTGGGACATCAGGATTGGGACCAAGAAACGAACTTGACGATGAGGACAGGCGGATTGCCGGGGCGGCGAAGATAGATACCTGCTCGCGGACGAACCGGTCGATCTCCTCGTCGTGCTGCTTCACCTGCGCGGCGAGCTCGTCGGAGACAGAGCCGAACAGCGACGGCGACGACGACGAGTAGCGCAACGCATTCATCTGCTTGCTCTCCTGCTGCTGTAGCTGCTGCTCGTCGAATGCCAGGCGGAGGCCGGTGGAGACGAGCGCCGTCGCGGCCGGGGACGGCGACGACGAGACCCTGCTCTGGTTGTGGAAGAGCGCCACGTTGGCGAACGACGACGTCGACTGCTGCGGCTGGATTGTGAACAGATTGACGTACTCCTCCTTAGCCGCCGCCACGGGCGGCGGCGCCATGGCCATGGCCTCCCTGGGTCGCTTCCTCCGATTATTATTCCCACTCGCTGCAAGAAATGGAACCGAAACCGTCACAATCCAAGAACCGTAGGCCGCGGCAGGGCGAGCAACGACGTCCTCCTCCTATTTATTAAGATAACATCAGGCACGGCGGGCGGGCGGCACACACCTCCAGCGCTGGAGAAGTAGACTGCAGCCGGCGAGACTCCGGCGAGCTGCGGCGGCCTGGGCATGTCCATCCCCTTCCTGTCCGGCTCACCTCTGCGATGATAAAACAGCACGGAGCACAGGTAGCCGTGAGACCACTACTCCCCGCCAATCAAAGACCACCTCTCAAGAGGAGCAGATACCGCTCCTCCCTAGGGGCGGAAGGAAGGAGGACGGGCCGTGTGGTGGCGGAGTAGGAGGAGGCGCACCTGTCGTGGAAGAGGAGATTGGACGGGTACTGCGCCTGTACTGCCATTGTTAAGGAGGGGGGTGGGAGGCAGGCAGAGGCAGGGGCAGAGGTAGGGGCAGGAGAACGAGAAACGGATGGGTGGTGGGTTGGCGCCGGCAGCGGGCGGGAGGTCACGGAGAAGAAAACTTCCACTCGTGGTTTTAATAGCCGAGTCCAATTCCCCGCAGTCGCGCACTCACTCCGCACGCTCGCTTTTAAAACCTCCGCTCCCTCCCTTGCTTGCTCGCGTGGAGTGGGACGGGACGGGGGGATGGAGATGGATCGCGCGTCCGAAGGACTCAGCGCGAGAACCGAACGGGGAAGAAGGGCTGGGCCGCCTAAAACTGCTCGTGGCGACGGAGACACGGACGGATGGTTAAAATTAGGCGACGGATGGATCGCGGAGGGTGGGGATTTACAGCGCGATTTGGTGGCGTAAATGCGGGGTGGTTTCGGTTTTGGGCTCCTCGACCGCGATCGCGCTCGCTTGGCACCATCGTCCATCGATCGGCCGGGTTTCGCTACGCAATAATGATGGCGGAGGCGTTTGGAAAAGTCAGGGGGCGTTGGAGGAATGCAAGGAGAGGAGAAGCAAAGCGCCTCCCTTTCCTTCCTTGACACAACTAGCTAGCTTAGCCGTTAGTTAAAAAATAGCTGGAATAAAGGAGCGCGGTAGAACGCCCCCTGTCAAGCAAACGTACGTACTGTATTTGTGATGACCAGCTAAAGATATCGGCCATAAATGTTTGCGTCATCTAATTTAAGCCATTGCCATTTAGTGCCATCTTATTTGGGGCTTACATTATTTGCAGGGGGGTGTTACAATTTGGGGCGATCATTTTAGGTGAATCAAATCTGAAAGAAATGGCTGATTTGGTCAGATCGCTGCCTATACGACAGCGCCTTAGCGGCAAAGGTGTTAATCTTGGAGTACCATGTATGTATTTGCATCATCGACTAAAATAAGTACAGTTACTCAGTCCCAGTCGCAAATAAGGGAGACCGACGATGCGTCTCTAAAATATTATTTTGACCAAGTTATGCTAATATTTACGAGAATACCTTTTTCTAGATAAATCCATTTGTATTATTCTCAAACTTCCAATACTCAAAACAAAAAAGTAACTTGTAACAAAAAAATTGAAATAGTCAACTGAACTTAATCCAAAATGTCGATTATCTTTATCTGTTACGAGGTGTTTGATTCGAGGAATCACTTCATCCTAGATGAGATGGTGCATCACGAGTCCACTCCTTAAATTCCAAGGAATTACTTTATTCCTCGTATTAGTACTCTATCCATCCATAAAAGATTGTGACTATAAGATTTGTGTCAGTCAAATTAGTTTATGTTTGACCAAGTTTATAAAAAATATTATTAGTATTTATGTCTCTAAATAAATTTATTATAAAATATATTATATAAATAATCTAATAATGATACTTATTTTGTATAAAAAATGTTAGTACCTTTTTATATAAATTCAGTCAAAGTTTGAACTATTTGACTCCCCGAAAAGCGAGAATTGCATTACTAATTATTAGTCTGTGAGAAATGAATTGATGGTGCATCAACACATTCTATTCCACAAACCAAACAAAAAATGAGAAATGGGTAGATGATAGACTAAATCATGCATCAAACTAAACACTCTTAGTATGTACTGAGGGAGTACATTTTTTTAGATAATGGAACAAAGTTCCAGCCTCCAAGGGAGTACATGACATTGGAATCTCAAACCATTTCATTCATGCATCTTCAAGATTATACGAAATGAGGCGCAAAAACACAAAGATTATATACGCAGTGATGTGCATAATAATCAAACCCTTTTCTGAAAAATGCAAAAAGGGATTGCACATTTATCCCTTTGACATTGATCAAAGAAACATCAAAGTCAGGTGACAAATTCAAATTCGCACTCTATGCTAGAATCTTCCAAACACTCAATTTTCTCTGGCGCCTTCCCACGATCGAGCTGTCAAGTGTTCCAATCAAACGGTGGTGGTAAGCGAACCAAGCAACACGTCGCGTCGTCGCTTCTCTTTGGCAGATAAGCTACGTCTGTAAACGCGGAGCGGCAATTTTTAAGTCTTGCTTCATTTTCATGCGCATGTTGTTGTTGATAAGAAGGGATGGATTTGTTTTTGTGGTGAAAAAGAAATAAAAGCGGTGTCTTGTTCTAGAGCTAGCTGTTTGGTTTTATTGCAGGCACTTGTTTGAACTCTTTCAACACTTTCATTGTCTGGTGGAAGAAAAAAATACAATATTTTTTGAAGGCTGAGGAATCCGAAGGAGATTAAGCCATCTGACCTACTACCGAGTGGTTGCCAAAATTCTTTTTGGTTTGTGTTTTTGGAATCCCTTGAATTAAAAATGATGAGTTTTTTTAGGTTCAAAATGATGAATTGGAGTGAGAGAGAGAGAGAGTTGTCAGTAGCACGTCATGTTTGAATTGGAGATTAATAGTAAGAATGCAACAAACATACATCACATACATGCATGTTCACTTGCTTGTATACGATCGTGGATTATAAGCTAGAATAGTATTTTTCTCTCACACCAAACCAGCCATCAGTAAATAATCCACGATCGTTTACGACGAAACTAACAGGCTCTGCTGCTACATTTGATAGAAAATTATTGTTTCTTTCCAGTTGGTTGTTCCTAGCCTGCAGCAACATACAGCACATACATGCATAGCTTAACTGCCAAGTACTAGCAAGCATTGGCGTGCGTAAGACCCAAAGCTAGATGCAGGTAGAGTTTATTGACCAGTACGTTCTAGTTGTGAGTTGATTGGGATTTGGTAAACATCATTAGAGGACAACTAGAACAAGCCTCTGCCTCTCTATCCTTTTAGCTAGCTACTAGGAGCATGGCGATTGAAGCAAGAAGTGTGGGGATATATAAAGCTAGGCAGCAGGAGAAAAAGAAAGAAAGAAATATCTATCCTTGCGCCCCGGCCCAGAATATTTCTTGAGATCGAAAGATGCAAAAGAGAGCCGGCTGGCTAGCTAGAAAGAATCAAATGCTGGCCATCTTTGTCCCCAAGGTGGCTGTCAGTTGATGCAGCGCTGCATCTACCTTCCTTGCAAACAACCTCCGATCCGGCCAATTATTTTGCCCTCTCTCATTTATTTGGCATGCTTTTCTTTCATCTTTCCGTCTCGTCGTCTCCTCGACGATGCATTTCCACGTGATTGTGATTGATTCTAGGTTTTACTTCTACGGCCATCTGGAGGTGAGGTGGGAATGTAAAGTAATCATCGATTAGTGGTGACAAAAAGCTAGGCAAATATATATCTTGTTGGGTGGTGGCATTGGGTTAGCCTCTACCTTGCAGCTGCTTTACCATCTCTGCGCTGGAGAGTGGAGACTGCGACCGTTTGGCAAATTAGAGAGGAGACCATCTAGACTAAAAATAGTCCTCCTTGTGACGATGCTAGCTAATCCGTGACCTAATAACACATATGCATGCACCCGTGGCCACGCGAGCTGAGGTACTCTCGATCGACCGGAAACACGCATGCTGTCTGCCCAGCTGGTCAAATCCAATGTGTGTTTGGATTGTCAATCACACCAAACCAAGCAACGCACTATGTATCCAGACAGGACAAGGCTGCAGCTAGCGCTGCGATGCGCGTATTTCTCAGCTGGTAGCCAGTTAGCCGTTGCGTACACACATTCATGCGGAGACGGACGGAGACGGAGCCGGCATGTGCATGTTTCTTCATCAATTCATTCCTGATGGGTTTGTTGATTATTAGGCCAGGCCGGCTCCAGCACTCGTGAACGGCCGGTCAAATCCGGCACGCACGGACGCACGCACGTAGGCATGGTTGGTTGGTTAAAAACTTAAAACGCGAGACGACACGCCGGAGGCAGGCGGGCAGTTTCGCATCGGCGGTGACGGACGGCCGGGCGCGGGGTGGGGGTGGGTGGTGATAATGGACTCAAAAGGGGTGCGCGCGGGACTGGAGGTGGAGGGACAGGTTCGCATGCATGATGCAAGGCACGGCAGCTCCGTCCGTCCGTCTCCAACCCCAACACACATTAAGTGCGGGCAAAGGAAACGCGCGAGCGAGGTGGAGGAAATGGGGGGATCGGAGGTGGTGCGTGATGCCGGCCCGCCCGGTCTGCCGGGAATGAATTGGATCGAGAACGAGAACTCTACTGGTGGCGGATGCCAATGCCATGCCGTGCGTGCCTGCGCTCTTCTCCCGGACCCGGTCCCTTGATGGCATCACAAGTATATTTCCCCAGTGGATGGGCGTGGCGGGCATGTGATCCTCTGATCTCCTCCCTCTTCAAGACGCTTGGGTCCCGCGCGCCCTCTCGATCGCCTTGTGTTGTTGGACGTAACGTAATCGCCTGCGATTCTGACCGATTCTTCCTGTTGTTCTCGTCGTGGTGGACTGGTGCTAGTGGTCGTTGCTGTCATGTCAATTGTCATGCATGGCGCCTTCGTCGATTCAGTTCGCTCGTGCTTGAGTTTCTTCTGCTGTGAAACATTCAGTTTGATCCGTCCACCTATCGTCTAGGAACTAACTACTGGCTGATTTCTGTGTTTGGCGTGCATACTCAAGAACGACGGGCTGAAAAGTATGAGACAGTGATGGTACCCGATGAACTAGAACAACCTATAAAAAAGGCAACATTTATCAAGAGTGCTGGCAGTACGTGGTAAAAAGTTTGCTTCGAATTGAAACTGTAGAGGGCGGTCAAGAAAGGCTGGAGCGAGCAGCGGCGGCGCTTCACGAGCTGCTGCTTAGGGCAGCGCGCTGATATGAACTTAAAGA